GGGTGAGATTTTAGCTCTGAGCTCTGACCTCTCGGCTTTCTCTTTTACATTGTTTCTGTGTTTCTTATTTAATAAGATGGTTAGTTACATCTACAAGGGTCAGTTGAGTATTCTCCACCATTTCTGCCCTCTAGTTACTCACCTGCTGCCTCTCCATGCTTGCTCCTTCAAGCCCACCATTCCCATTGGGAACTGGATTTCACACTCACCACCACGTGCCAAACCCTGAGGAAGTGATAGGTGTTGTGATATGGATCGAACCAGATGCCTTATGAAGGGGCAGCATACTGCACTTTGATCCACTTGGCCCTGTGAAGTATGAAAAGCTCAAGGCCAGTATAGGCAGTAGTTGGTTTCTGCTTTGGGCCCTGCCTTGTGCCAACCCAAGTCTAAACTCAGAAGACCATATTCATAAAGTTACTTGTTCTTATACTGGTAAGCAGGCTCCCTTTGGGGGAGTTTTCTGGAACCTCCCCTGTCCATCCCACAGTCACATTGTTAAAGTTTCATCTTGTGTGTTCTTTCTCCTTAGATGGTGCCAACATGCCATAGCACGAGACTCGGAAAAGACTGTGTGACTGATGTGGACGGTACATTAATATATGTATCTCCTTAATATGACATGAAAACAATGGTCCTGGGATCATAATCATGCTATGCTGGCTTGTGTGTCCAACAGGTGTCTTGATAGTGTTCCAGCACTAGGAGAACACATCTGTCACATCTCTTCTGTCCTCTGAGCACCACTAAGCTCCCAGGACAGATATTTTGAGGTGCCCAATCTGGGAAAGTACATTCCACGGGATCCTTTGCTGGCCTCAGCCATTGGGTCTACTCAGAAAAAACTGAGGAGGACTTTTCAGACAACTCTGGCCAGTCTGGGAGGGAGATCTGGCCTCTCACATTGTGATTCCCCTAAGACAACTGTATTGTTCACCTGCCCCCATCCACAGGTTTTAAAAGCCACTGGTGAGTATCTCTTTCTGTCTCTGTGCTTGTGTCTGTGTCTGTGTCTCTCTTTCTCTCTCTCTGCCTCTCTTCTACATGAACAACATCCAGGCAGATCACATGTTCTGTCTTAAACAGGACCCCCAGCAAATCACCAAACACTGAAGATTGCTATAAATAGGAAACCCAAAAGGCAAACATAAAATAAAAATTGCAATTGATTGAAATATATACATGATATTAAACCCGACCAGCCAAAAAATAACAGCATGAAACCTTGAATAACCCACCCTAGTAATAATAGTCTCACAGAAGCATGCTAAGGAAACACATTCCACCTACAACCAAAGAAGGACATTGGCTTTCATTCCCTGACAGGTGTATTAAGCTGTTATAAGCACTAGTCCATTTTATTTTCTGACATTTGGTTCTGTCTACTTTGGTACAAACTGTTTTCATCTGCTGGTTTGTTTCTTTGTCTGTCTGTCTGTTTGTCAGTTTGTTTGTTTGTTTGTTTGTTTGTTTGTTTTTGGAGACAGGGTTTTTCAGTGTAGTTTTGGTGCAGGTCCTTGATCTCATTCTGTAAACCAGACTGGCCTTGAACTCCCAGAGATCTGCCTGGCTCTACCTTCTGAGTTTGGGGATTAAAGGCTTGGACCACCACCGCCCAGCTCTATTGGTTGATGAGTTTATATAGGGTATTGCCCTGCAACTCAGGCTGGACAGAATTCGGTAGAGAGTCCAGACTGACTTTAAATTCTTGGGGATCCTGCTGCCTCAGTGTCTCTTAGGTGCACTGGAACACTGTTAGCATTTGTGGTTTAGTCAAAGTCTCATATAACACAAGCAGGCCACTCTGTAGCCATAGATGACCTTGAGTAGGATCTTCATCTCCTTGTCTCTAACTCCCCAAGGCAGAAATTCCAGTTTTGAGCCACTCTGCCCTGTTAAGTATGAAAATCTCAAGGCCTTAATAAGCAGGAGTGATTTGCAGGCTGAGTGGAATCCCGTCTCAAGGAGAATATAGAAGTTCTGAACATTTTGAACTATCAGATCTGGACAATGCCTGGGTAGATGGGGGAATGGCTAAAGCGCCACAGAGAAAGGAAGGACTGTGTGAAAACTGGATGTGGCCGTGTCCTTATGTCATCTGAGACCTGGAGCTGAAGAGAGTCAAGTGTGGGAGCTTGCTGGCCTGAGGTCAGTGAGACACACTGTCTCGAAAATGAAGGTGAATGCCCGGTGGTGGTGGAGCAACCCTTTAATCCCAGGACTGGAAGGCAGAAGCTGTCAGATCTCTGTGAGTTCAAGGACAACTGGTCTAGAGAGCCAGCTCCAGGACAGCCAGGGAAACTCAGGGAACACCAGTCTCATAAAACAAACAAAAACAACTAAGGTGCAAAAGCATTTGATGAATATTCCTGATCTACATGTTTGCTTAAAGGGTTAGATAGGCACGGACAGATAGGCACCGTTGCACCCCTACGTGCACACAAACACACACACACACACACACACACACACACACACACACACACACACACCACACACACACCTGCAGTCACACATAGGTCAGGAACAAACACACACTCTTTGTGCAGAGTTCTCCACCCTGTCCTTACCCATACCCCTCACTACTGTCTATTCCTTGTACTCATGGCCTTTTCTTTTCTTTGCCAAAGCACATGTCTCTTAAACACCACGGTGGCATAACTACCAGTCCCCTCTAATGAGGCTTCCTCTCATTTTTTTTCTCTTCTCTTATTTTGACTCCTGTTTTCTGTCTGTAGTCCAGGCTGCCAAGGACAGGCGACCCTCCTGCCCTCAGACAATTGATCAGAGGGGATACAGGTGTGCACCTGGTCTTAGTGTGTTTGAGGGGTTTTGTTTTTAAAATTATCTATGTAACAGGGTATGACCTTGAACTTTTAATCCTCAGCCTCCACCTACCAATGTCAGGACTATAGGAATACCCCACCAAGCCTGGTTTATTTGGTCCTGGGGACCAAACCCAGGGCCCCCTGCATGCTAGGCAAGAGCTGTCCCAACTGAGTCACACCTGTAGCTCAGGCTAGCCTGGGACTTACTATGTAGCTGAGGAAGAGCTTCTGATGGAATTACAGGTCTACAGCATTGAACCTGAATTTTTTCTCTCTTTTTTTTCTTTTAAACTTTCTAGATGACATAGTCGTTTTACTGAGAGTCTTTTGGAGTGCCACAATCATGAACTGTATCTGGATGCCGCTCTTCTTCTGAAGCTGGTGAGCAGTGATCTGGTCATGAAAAAGGGAAGAAGGCTGTCCCAGTCCCATGCCCTCTCAAGGACACTCAGGTCAGTGTGCAGCAGTCCCTGGACTGTCACCTGTGTAGCCAGGCTGCTTTGAAGGACTGTTCTGACTAGCGGCCCTCAAGTTGGACTCATCTAACTCTCTATGCAGCTCTGTGGGACAGGATGGAAGGCACCAGCCTCAACCAGCCCATGTCCAGACCTGTAGCTGATGACACTATGAGATGGAGCCTCACCCCCACTGCTTGAAGGTTTAGTCCCCTCACCCCTCGGGAGATCTCATAACCCTCACATTTAGCCAGTTTTAAGGAGTTTCTGCATTTTTCTTAAGACTAGATGCTAGAGCCAGGGTGAAGGTATATGCCTATAATCCCAGGACTCTGGGGGCTTAGTCAGGAGACTAGCCATTAATTAAAGGCCAGCCTGGGCTATATAAGGAGCAGTAGTCTAGATTTGGTGGCACTGTGAGATCTCTCTCCCTATCTCTCTGAAACATAGAAAGTGAAAAACAGGACTAATTTTCCATGTGCCTTGCATGCACGCTGGTTCTTGGCCCTGGTTCATGCCCAGCATAAAATAAAACCAGGTGGAACATGCTGGGAATCCCAGTATTGGAGGGTGGAGACAAGAGGATCAGGCAGTCAAGGTCATCTTCCAACATGGAGAGTTGGAGGTCAGTCTAGGAGGAATGGCACTATTTTAAAAGCAAACAACCCCTACCCCAAATCTTAATGCCCAAATCTGAGAAAACAGTGGCATGGCAGCCCATTTTCAACCACATATTCCATGTGAATCAGACCTTTCTGATAGAAGAAATTCCGGTGTCTAGATGTGGAGTGCAGTAATTTTTTTCCTGCAACTCACATCTGGAATTGGCCTGAGCATTGAGTTCATCCCTGTGCACAGAACTGAAGAGTTCACTAAGTACTTCCTGCTGGCCCTGTAGGAGGCACTGGGGAGCTGTGTTGTAGTGCCCCCTGGTGATCCTGTGGGAGGCAGTCTGGAGGAGGGTTTGGAGAGCATGGAGACTCCAACCTGTGCCAATAGGAAAGGCAGGTATGATGTTGGCCCTGCAACCTGTCAGAAACTCTGGTGTTGTGCTGCCCCCTTGTGGCACTACTATACCCGTTCCCTGCTAGTGCACCTGGTTGGCTGAGGTCCCTGCTTCACCAGGTGCCAACAACTGGGTTGGTTGGGTGGGTTTGTGGGTGGGGTGGGGGTATGCTTGCTCGGATACACCCATCTAACATGATTTTGTCCTTCCTTCCTTTCATTCCTTTTCCCCGATTATCATAATAAAGGAACACAATACCCTTCATAGCTCTGCTGACCAGGAGATGGCCTTGAAGAAATTGCATAGACACACACTGCTGTTCCAGGCTGTGTTGTTTATAAGGCTAGACAACTGGGCAGCGAGTCAAGAGTGTGAAATGGACACTCTGGGCCAGATTCAGAAGCACAAGAGAACCAGGACAGTGAATGTCTGTTTTTACATTACCTGCTTTCCTTGTGAGATAGGAATTTGTTCCCCAGGGTGCAAGAAAAAGAGTGAGCAGGCTTGCTGAAGCTTGTCACCCCAGCACTCGGAGATGGACACAGGTGCATCTTCTTTTTTGTTTGGTTTTATCTGTTGTGATTTATGTTTGCGTTTTTTTTTTTTTTTCCCCAAAGACAGGGTTTCTTTGTTTGGCGCTGGCTCTGGAGACCAGGCTGGCCTTGAACTCCCAGATATCTGCCTTCCTCTGCCTCCCGAGTGCTGGAATCAAAGGCATGCTCCACCACCACCTCCACTGATGAAGGTGCATTAATCTTGCTGGCCCTGAGAAAGCCTGTGTCCAAAACACAATGTGTCCAGCATCTGTGAATTCATATTTGAAGGGAATACATGTGCTGCATATATACAAGTTTGAGCAAAAATGTGTATGTATTCAAGGACACACATACACAAGCACACTAGTGTAAACATATAATGTGTGAGTGATCTGCACACACACTCAAGTAAAAATAATGATAAAGGATCATAAAGTTTTTTGAAAAACTAGGTAGCTTTTTAGAAAACTTGACCTCCTGTGCAGGAACATCATTTTGAGCAAGACCTAGGAGAATGAGACAGGGTGATGCTGCTGAGAACACTGGGGTGGTTGACTCTGAATGCTCTATGGTTGACAGAGCACAGCAAGCCAAGATTTGGAGTCTTGTTATTGCTAAGTAGAATCCAGTTGGTGGGCTGACAAGGTGTTCCCAGATTTGTTAGCACAGAGGGTCACCTGGAGGTCTCACCTCTCTGCATCACAAGACAGGTGCCTCTCAGAAGCCAAGAAGGATATCCCTGCACTCAGGAGCAAAGCCCACCTTCAATTCTACCGGCATTAACCCTCCCCCCGAAAAAAAACATTGCAATATGTTTTCTATGTTGGAAATAAAATGGCATTGTTAAATGAGCTTTTTGTTGTTTTGAGACAGGGTCTTTGTGTAGCTCTGCCTGGCCTGAGACTGTGTAGCCCATGCTGGCCTTAAATTTAAGGCATTGTACCTCAGCTTCCCAAGTGGCTGGGATCATAGTTGTGCCTTGTCACTGCCTTCTTCTTATGGGCCTGTTTTTGTTTCATGGCTTTCATATAGGGTCACATGTGTTTTAGGTTGGTATTGAACTTGCTATGTAGCAGAAGCTGTCCTGAACTCCTGATCCTCTCATATTGCCTCTTTCATGCTCATATCACAAACCTGGACCACCACATTGTAGCCTAGACATGACAATTTGTGCCCAGGCTTAATGCATCTTGTTATGCCATGTTTGGTTGGCATCCCTGTGAGGCCTTTTTTTTTTTTCTGAAGTGAAACAAGGGAGCAGGGGATCTGGGGGAGATGGGAGGTAAGGGGAGGGAGTGGGGGAGTAAAGGGAGGAGAAGCTGTGGTCAGGATATGTTATATGAGAGAAGAATAAATAACAATTAAAACAAAAAATGTGAGCAGAAGACCAAGGAATCTTTGGATACAGAAAAGTGAGTGACTTTAAGTGTAGCCATTTTCTCACAGAATTAAAGAAAATCTCTTCCCTGTAGTCATTTGTCACCCATGGGTGAGTGGTGTGTTGTGGTGTGTGTGTGTGTGTGTGTGTGTGTGTGTGTGTGTGTGTGTGTGTGTGTGTACAT